ATACAAATGAATAAGAATAGAGAATAAATGTTTTGAGTCATGCTAATTGGATATCACCACCAAAATATCTGACAAGCAGCATGAATATGTGTTTTGTGCTGAGTCCAACCATAACATATAACTATAGATATAACCATAAGATATGTGTTTTCCTTACACAAACCTTATAAAAGGCTCTTTGTGTTACTCGGTTATTTGTAATGTGGTTTTGAACTTGTAAAAGTTGTCAAGGATCTTTCAGTTGTTTTCAACCACTTTTCCTTCACAAGCCGCACATCTTGTCCTTTATTCTTCAGTTACATGGATTCAGTTTTCCAAACTCTGTCATCAAAGACTACGGTCTTGAAGTTTGAACATTGTTCACATCACTGCAGAGCAGCAGTGGAGATGATGCTCAGATGGCACTCGAACATGTCACGTGTCAGTGTTTGTGGTTCAGAAGGAGGGAGAGGAGTTGAAGGAACCTCCAGAAGACATCATCATCGTCCTTGAAGGAGTGGACGTGTTGCATGACCTGACTTCAGCTGCCTCACACGGGCCCTGCTTCTGGCTTTGATCTATGGCTCATCCAGAACCTCTGCCTTCATATATGAGGTCTTCTAAACAATCTTCATGCAACCTGAGCAGCACGAGACGTCTCCCAAAGGTCACGTTTGTTTGGAAGACTTCAGACTCACAGTGAAGACACCGACGTGCCACAGGACAGATGGTCTTCTCTCTTGACTGAACACAAGCGCTGCATGTTTTGAAGCTCTACAGGGTTTGGATCTGGACTGTTTGAACTTCTTCTGGACATGGTGCACGTGAGTAATACACGTGCAGAGTAGGGGTTGAACGAGTATATAATTTTTAAACTCGACATTAACGTAATAAAACCCGAGTACAACTCGAGTATTTGATGACGTCATAGATCTCAAGATACAAAAATAAATTAATAAATAAAACTGCAAAAAAGTTAATTATTTACAAAAAAAGACCAAAAAAACATTGGGAGTGTATATTATGCTCCTACCATTTATCATACTGCAGATAAGTCACAGGAAAATTAAACTATTAGTTTACTATTAGTTTACATAGTACTATGAGCATGCATCAGGATAAACTATTAGTTATTATTATTAAACTGCAAACGTGAAGAAACATGCAGCACGGCAAAAACAAAACTTAAACCGAAACTGGTTCTGGTTCGGTGGATTGGACCCGGTGTTACACCATACTCTGTGACCTGCAACAGTGCAACACCGCCCCCTACGGTCACACGGTGGTCACATAATATGACGTCACTACGGATACTCCACGTTACATTTTTAACCTCGATAGATGTCCTAGCAATCGATGTGTAGATTACTCGAGTACTCTGTTAATGCCCTAGTGCAGAGTAAAGGTTCTTACTGATGAACTGTTGATGTGCACTTCATTTTGGAAGATGAGCTTGTTTGTTATTGACTTGTTCTATAAAGTTGGATCTCTGTGCAGGAGGAGCTGTGCAGCAAAACTGTTGGAGTTGTTTTCACAATAAAATGTCAAATGTTTCATTTGTGAAATGGAGAGTTCTTTTTTTAATCTAACTTGAATTTCTGATTACCATCAAAGTATTTTACTCTTACTGGAAAACTAAAACAACACGCTAAAACACATGTCATTTATGTTCAAGCTGTATTTTAAGTAGAACGTTGGTGATTATTTACTTTTGGATAGTTCAGTGTTTTGATTTGGAACAACTTAAAAACTTTTGAGTTGACTTTCCATAAAATTAAGTCAGAGAGATTTGAATTCTTCATTTGAAATAAACTAAGTGATTTGAATAAAACTGACTTAAATTTGTCAAGTTAAACAAACTTAATAAATTAACTTGGATAAACTTAATTAAATGACCTGTTACCAACTGAAAGAATTCATTTAAGTTGGATCAACTATTGTTTTTTAGAGTGTAGAGGAACCAGCTGTGCCCCAGAGCAGCAGGAACCAGGCCCCGCCCCTCGGTCATGATACCAGAGCATCTTCAAGTCAAACCTGCGAGCTGCTTCAGTCACACTGAGCTGTGGACATTAACCAGCAGCAGGTCTGAAGAACAGAACCAAGGTGTTCAAGTTTGGATCTCGACTCATTCCAGATGCTTCATTCAACCTTTATTTATACAAGTTCATCCCGTTGACTCGTTTACAAGAGAGACCTGAAGATCAGGGGCGAGCAACGTTCCTCAAGAGCCATCCATCATCTTGACCCACACTTTCCTCTTCAGGTCGCAGGGGTCACTGATGCCCATGTCCAGCAGTCACTGTGCTAGAGGTGGGGGACACCTGGACAGGTCTCCAGTCCATCATTGAGACACATAGAGACAAATGAGACAAACAACCATTCTCTCTCTCTCTGTCTCTCTCTCTGTCTCTGTCTGTCTGTCTCTCT